CACGAATTTATACACATCTAGATCAAGCTGCCTATCTAATATTAATTCATTCTTATTTAGGCTCGTCATTCAGCCCCTTCTGTACCAATATATATAACTGTTGATCCAGATTCTCCTGCATATGTTGTTTATCATGATCATTCATATTTTATTCGCCACGACTCAATAGATGATACACAAAGACGTAAAACATCGATTCCAACAAATAATATTCAATCTAGTATACAAGAAGACTCATCTTTACCATCTGTTCAAGTTCTTAATCAATTACTTCTTGAACATCCACAAAAAACGAAAATTTCTCAATCAGATGCTTTAACGTCAACAACTCCTATTGATTTTACTGCTATACTTCGTGCATTATTAGCTAAACAAGGGCATCAGTTAACATCAACTATACCGAAAGAAACAATTGAAACTAAAATACATGATAATACATCTTCGTCTCCATCATCAACAGCTGCTTCATCATGATTTTTTTCTACATAGTTCTTTTTTTTTTGATTATCTAGAAAAAGAAAACCCTTATGAGTATGTTTCTTCCTTCCTTTTTTTTCATTGTATGTGTATTTGTGTATGTTTGTTTTTGATACTTATGAAACAAACTAGAAATCGTCTAGCATACGAAATTCAAAATTGTACAAATCTGTTTCAGTTTTTATTTCTGCATGTTAAAAAATGACACATGTTAAAATCTGATTAAAAAAGTAGGTTGAAGGGGGGGGGGGGGGGGTGGTAAGACACAAAAATAATCACTAACTATGCAATATAAAATAACCAAACGCAATAAAAAATAACAAAAAAAATAAAGTCCTCGAGTTTAATTTTTTAATTATCAAAATCATCGTTTCTTGAATAATTTGATTGTGACAATGGTCGAAAAGGTTGAACCAAAGCACTGATTGTAGAATATTTGTCACCACCGGTTGACATTGGAAGATTTGTTTTTGAAACAAATTCATGTAAAGCTGATGTTCGCTCATTTTGTTGAGTTGGTGTTGGACGTCGATCAACAACATTCGTATTTGATGGTCGAGTCTAAATATTTCAAGAAAATAGTTTTTGTTTTGAAGAAAAAAAAACGCTAATTTACATTAAGATAATCATATTGTGGCATATTGACTGATGATGGTGATGTTGAATCACGCAATTTTCCTTCGCCATGAACACTTGATGAGGCATAACCACTTGTAGGAGAAGGTGATCGATTACTATTAACATTTACTGATGGTGATGAATCACGCGAATGACTTTGTTCAGGATAGAAATAATTTGTATTCGTTGTTTGTTTATTTTCATAAGATGATGAATGAGAATACGTTGGTTTTAAAAGTGGATTCTCTGAAGTAATTACATTGGTTGTTTTATCATCATTTGAATAATCATGCGAATGACTTTGTTCACGATAGAAATTATTTGTATTTGTTGTTTGTTTATTTTCATAAGATGATGAATGAGAATAAGTTGGCTTTAAAAGTGGATTTCCTGCAGTAATTACATTGGTTGTTTTATTATCATTCGAATATTTTTCATTACTAGTATCGTGTTGATTTTCACTTATTGTTAAACGAGAAAAATTATCTATCATAAAGAAAAAAAAAAAAGAATAAAAAAAAGATTTTGTTTTCTTATATACCTGATATATCCATTTGATGTTCACGACTACTTTGTCGTCGATAAGTGTCTGTTGATAATGGTGATGAACTTCGAATTCGTTCATTACTTTTTGTTGGTGTAATTGGCATCTCAATTCTCTCACTTGTTGAATCTGATCGTTTAGGTGGTGAAACGACAGGCATATCAATAATAGCTGATGTTCGATTAGCATAATATGTTTTTTCATCGTCAAATACAGATTTAGTTCGATCATCTTCCCGACTAATTGTTGATTGACGATAATTATTACCACTATTACTTGTTTCAATAACTCTTTGAAAACCGATTTGACTAATTGGTCGTTGATAATTTTTATCAGCACTATGATCACGTTCAGTTTTGATTGGTGGTGAATGTTGTTCAGGTAGAACCTCGTTACGCCATGGAAACATTTTTGGTAATTCATCATTAAGTATAGCACTATGTTCACCTAGAAGTATATTATCATTTGAATGTGCACGTTGTCGTATTTGTTGATGTGCTATAATTGGTGCATCAAGATCACTACCATATGATGAACGACGTGACGGACGATTTTCACGTGCTGGAGTTTCCGTGGTCATTGTTACACCATGAGCCAAACCATGAACACCAAATTGTCTTGTATAACATGTTTTACAATAAATTTCACCTTTATGTTCAGATAATATTGTTGCATCTAATTTTCGATTACATGTTCGACAACTAAAGCATCTTATATGAAATGAACGACCGGCTCCAACCTTTTTTTCTGCTAAATAAACATTTTTTGAGCATCGAGCACATTTTTCAGAACCACCACCGTAACTTGGCATTGCTCCGTTTTGTTGTATACCTTGATTTTGTCTATTGATAATAGGATTATTGATAGGTGTAATACCTGTATTTGTTGATTTTCTTGTTGCCTTTGGACTACCAGTAATACTGCAACGAAAAAAATGAAGACAAATGTAATGAAAGAAAAATATTTCTGAGAGGTGACATTATATGTGTTGTGCTTTTTTTCGATTGCTCATAGAATACAAAAAAGGCTCTATTTTTTTATTGCTATTAACCTATTCAATTCACTTAAATAGAAACAGAAAAACTTCCGATTCTTACTCAGCCATATATTCTGAATAATTCACACGGTATGTTGCAGTCGCAGTTGTCATATTGAGTTTTTTTTTCGCTTTCAATAGGTCAATAACTTATAAATTATGCTGCATGCTGTTTTACATATATATATATATTTTACGGTATGTTACTCCTACTCAATGTTTTTGCTGTGTTTATTCAGAGATATTTTTCTTCGTTCTCAAAAAAAAAAAAAACATAGTTTCGATGAGCAATCAATACAGTTAATGTGGGTAGAGAAAAAACAAGAATGTCGTCGAAAGTTACACGTACGTAATAAATCACACACGTGCAAACTTTTGCTGACTCATAACTTTCATCCAAAAATAAATAGTCATCGCTTTAAAAATGAATCATTACTGTACATAGACTCTGAAATATGTAGGTGGATGTGTCCAATGTGACTTGAAAACAAAACACTTAAAACAATCCGATTACTGACAGCAGTTAGTCAGACAATTTACTATTTTGGTCCAAACAATGATGTTCGCCGTGAATAAGAAAACAACAGTTGACGTCCAGTTAACTTATGCGAAAAGGAAAAACAAAGAGAGAAAGAGAGAATGAATATAGTGATAACTTTGAACTAACTATAGAACATATTATATACATTGTATGGATGGTCTATTAGACGTCACCAATCGATTTGTAGATTTGAAGAAATTGATACAAAGCATATGAAAACATTTTCAAATCTAGGTGTGAACACATTTGATTTAATCGATCAAAAAGTTATTTATAATAAATCAAGTAATAAGAACAAAATTATAAATCGAAATTCAAGAATTTTTGTTTTTTCTTCAGATAGAAATCTTTTGAAGATTTCATGCCCATCATTGCAAGTGGTTAACATTTCGCTTCTTTTTCTTTCTGTGGCTGAAGCCATATCAGAAAAATAAAATGCGTCATATAAATATCATCCATCTGTTTCTGACTCAGATATCGTATATCATACCACGTAATAAACAATTGATAAACAAAAAATTCTTCTTTATTGGTTGTTGACAATTTCAGAAAAAAAAAAGTGACAAACAACTATAAAACTAAGAATAACATGTAAAACAACGTTACGAAAGATGAGAAAGAAAACGCGGCAGATTAATTTATTTTTTAATTTTTTGATTTAGATATCTTGAAACAATGAGTGATACGATCGAAACACTGGCTAATTCTGGTCTGATATCATTACCTGACAACTCTGATCAAACAAATAATAATATCGATTCAAATAATATTTATCCAATATTAAATGATGCCATAATAGAAGCTAAAAATGAAGAAAAACAAATTGATGACGCTACTGTTAAACTTACACCATATCCAACACTTGTTGAATTAAAATCAATGATTAATCAAGATAAATCAAATGTATCGACTATTATTGAACCACCATCAATTGAACCATTAAAGGCTTTCATTGAAAAACGTGCTATGACAATAGAAGGATTAAAACAACTTCGTATTCGTATGGTGAAATCTATTAAGAATTGTAAAATTTCAAATACAGTTGGTAATTCAGCATCAATTATTGGTGGAATTTTATGTTTTATTTTTCCACCAATCGGTGTACCTGTTCTTCTTGCTGGTAGTGCTACAAGTCTTGGTAAAAAATTAATTTTTTTACTATATATTGAATTTAATTCTTATGTTTATATTTGCTTTAATTTCATAGGAACAAGTATCACAGAAAATGTTATTGAAAAACATCTTCGAACAGAATATAATAATTTATTAAAAGAAGATTTATTAGCCATGAAAGTATGTGAATCAAATTTAAAAGATATAACAACATGGCTTGTAACAGTTTATTCACTTGGTTATTCTGTATCAAAAGCTGGAGTTAATTTCTTAAAACTTTCCGAAGCTATTCAAGCATCTTCAACATTAGGAACATGGAGTCAATTAATTGGACAATTACCATCATTAGGTAATGCTCTTGCAACTGGTGCTAAAACAGCTGGAACTATAAGTGGAAAAATTCTTGGTGTATCAGTTATTATTTCTGTTGCTGATCTTATTCAAACATGGATATCAAAAAATGCTACATTAGCATCTATTGATAAAGATATTTCATTACTTGAACAACAATTAATTGAATTAAAACGTATTGCAGATGTTTATCATGCTTAATTAGATTGTTTTTTTTTTATAATCAAATTCAAAAGATTGTTCATTGTTTATTACAATAAAGATTTATTTATTTATTTTACTATAGATTGTCTTAACAATAAAACAAGAAAATAAACATTTTACAAGCGAGTTATTTCATGATCTTCATTGTTATCTATTGGATGATTGATTGCTATAGGTAGAGTATTCGAAGAAATATCATTTTGATTAGAATGTCTAAATCGCCAATTGAAATAAACAACAGCACAAGCAATACCAGAGATTAATCGAATAGTAAAACCTGATAAAGCCATTGATAAACTCATTCGACGATTATTATATACTTTACATGTTTGTCGAGCATAACAATCTTTAAGCCATACTAAACATGACTGATCAAAAACATAACCAAATAATAGTGGACCAGTTGTTTGTCCTAATACTCGAACAATAGTTTGTCGAAGAGCAAGGGCCATATTTTGATAAGATAATGGAACACTATATAGAAGTACTTGTAACATTGGAACTTGAATAAATGCTGTGAAAAACACTACCAATGTAGCACCGATCATTGTCAAAGCAAACATTATTATACCTATAGGAGAATATGATTAGATAATCTATCTCTTGTAGGTCATACACAAAGAAAATCTTACAAGGTATTCGTCGAAATCGACAAACTGTTTCACTAACTATTGTATCTGCTGCACAATTACATGATGAATATAGAAAAGTATTATTACTTTTTATGATTGTTTGATTAGCACAACCAAAATGGCATGGTGATAAATACATTCTATGAGAATCATTTATATCACATACTAAATAAAAGACATTCGAAGAAAAAAAAGAGAACAAAATCGTGTATTAATATAGTTTTTTTTTGTTATAAACCTGGATGATAAATATGTTGACAACATAGTGTATTGCTAGAAGAACATGATGTATATTGAAATTTAAGTTCAGGACAAGAAAAAATAAGAAATAAAAAGAGAAATGATGAAATTGTTAATATTATTTTACAAATACGTGCACATTGCATTGGTGTCCAAGAATATTTATTCATACAGTAGGCACCTATTGGACAACCGATAATAACTGAAAGTAATGCAATGGCACCAGTTATTAATGTAGCTGTTGATGTATCTAATTGATGTTGATACTCAAAATATTTACTAACAAATGGTACAAAACCTAAAAAAAAATTTACGATCGTTTTAACTTTGATAAATAATATTAAAAAACAATAAAATAGACCTTTCAACAGAATGCCTTCGAATAGATTAGCAATCACAATAAAAACATATCGCATATTTTTCATAAGTTTACAAATGACAAAACACATATTTCTCAAATTTTCATTGTTTGTTTGTTGTTGAGCAAGTGAATTTTGTGAAGAAGTTGCCGGTAATGGTACTGAATTCTTAGTTGATAATTGATTATAGAATGTATCAGTTGAAAATGCATGATTAATAATACCATTTTCAGTATTATTTTCTGCTACTGACGACATCAATTGAGGTCGGTTTTGATTTTTCAAATCAGGGAATGATTCAGATAAAATATGATCTGTTGCAGGTGCTGATGGACATGTTGTAGTCATTGTATTAACTGTTGGAGTATTTTCTCGATTAATTGAAGCATCTAAATCAAAAGAAAACAAAATAACTTATTTGTATATAGTATCATTATTTACGATTATATTGTTGTTGAGCAGACACAGTTGGCATTATTATATTATTTCTATCAATCGAATGTTTTTTGCCAGGTATTTCATAATTTGGTAGACCAGATACAAAAAGTCCGATAAGAAAACATAATGAACCATAAATAAAATAAGGTAACCACCAACATCCAATCCAAAGTGGATGACTAGGTGTTAACCAAGATGGAAGATTTCGTCTAGGTGTAAGTTTGGTATAAAATAATAAAAATCTTCCAGTAACAACAATACCAAGTGCACCACCAACGGTACCAACAGCAAAATAAATTCCTTGACAATAAGCTGCTTTTTCACGTGGAAATATTCGTTCAATATAAGCAACACCAATGGTAAATAAGGCAACACTTCCAATGCCATTAATAAAATTGCCTGAATATAAAAGAAACTTTGCATTGGTTGATGTACTCGATAAACGCTCATCTTTTAAACATATTGAATCAGTTATATTTTCTTGATAAACTAATGGATCATTATCACATTGAAAAAGAACATTTTCAGAGGCTAATAAATTTTGTGTAAAGTCCAAATTGAAATTTAATTTATTATTTCGATTTATGAAATTACTTGATGCAATTAATATATTTCCAATAGAAACAATAATCATATTTAATGAAAAAAATATTGGTGATGAATATAAACTACCTAAATAACCGACCAATGGTGCCGACAAAACTGTGGCTAAATCATATAAGGCCAAGAAAAGACCTGATTGCACACTATTTAAATAAAAAACACGTTCAACAGTTGAAATAACAGCATTGTTAGCACCATTTACAGAAAAATTTTGAATAAATGTACAAATACATAGAACAATATATGAAAACAAAGGTTTACTTAAAATTCCACTACATCGAAAATATCCCCATCCATAAAGATTATATTTTAAATCTAAGTCCGGATTGAGATTGGATGCAAAAGTTGTCGGATTCATAATTCAAGCAATTTTCTCTATTGAAAAAAAAAAGAAAATCAACGTACATTTTCAAATTAAACTACGTAAACATTCATTTCTCTGTGGATACATTCACTGACTTTTCCTTCTCAAAAATTAAGCTCTGACATTTTAATCAATTTCTTGTTTCTATGAACTCGAACGAATAAAAAAGAAATTCTGAGTTTCTTTTTTTATTTTCTTTCTTTTTTTAAAACAAAGATAGGCATATACTTTGAAAAGCGTACGCTATTTGCTACAACTCTATATGTTAAATTCTGACAACACTCGCTAATACTTTTGACCTGTTAATTGACATGCTTATTTCAAAATCTAAAGTTAGAATAAAAGCTATAATGCCAGTTTTCCGTAATAGAAAAAGGGGCACATAAGGAATAATATAATGAAAGAGAAAAAAAAGTAGGCACAGTTCTATAATTGGCTCGTTTCTTTTTTTCTCTTGTATTCGCGTGATAAAAAACTTCCCACACAAAACATAGATGATGATGATGATGATGATGATGATGATGATGAGATGTGTTTTTTCAACGAGAATGACAGGAAGAGAAAGTAAATAGTAACAAAAAAAGAAGATGAAAGAAACAAAAGAGTATAAGAAAAAGAAGATGAACGTTTAAAAAGAGTTTCCTTATATATAAGATTCTTAGATAAGATGTGACACAACGTTATATCTTATTTAGTTACAAATAAACTCATCGAATCCGTTTGCATGGAATATATAATAGACAACAAATATTTTTACTCTGCATTCAATCGCATTAACCTTGATACTCATACAAAAAAGCAAAAATCGCTTATGCCGTACTAACGAAAAGTTGTTATTATACTACTTTATTTATTGATGTCAATATATATGTATGCGGGTCGCCAATCATAAATAGTCACTTGAATTGTATGACATCTGCATATATGCAAAAATATGTATTGGAAGCTAAGTTCTGTTTTTTTTTAACCAGATTAGACCATAAACTGTACTCATAGAAACGATAAAAAAGTGATTGCATACATTTTATTCGAAAGCAAAACTATTCTTCGTTCTTGTTTTACTTGAAAAATAACTGCATAATAATGATAGACTAATACAAAACTCATATTTCATGCAAATGTAAAATACCGAACTGAAGAAATTTAGAAACAAAATGATTTTACTGGGATAATAATGTCAATAACACGATGATGATAAAGGTAGTTATTGCTCGTGAACTGAAGACTAGAATGAAGCTAAACAGTTGAGTCTCTATATGAGACAAATGTAAATATATAAGTTGATTAGCTCACACTATGGAGTCTAATGTTGATTCAACCGAGTTCGATGTGAACATAATATATAATTCTCACACACAAGAATCCTTTGTTCAGAAACTCTTGTGAAAACATTCATCAAACAAGTGCAACTTGTCAGCATGGTTATTTCAATTATTTGTGCAAGTATTCAAGTAATTTCATTTGTATGAATACTGTTCATGTACTCGAATGAGTATTCAATGTAGTAGTCATTTTTGTTGTCTTGCAGAATATGTAGCAAACAATTTATGCACTTGTATACATACAAAAATAGACTAAAGTTACGTAATAAAGAAAAATGGCCTAAAGAATCATCCGTAAAGCACGTATAGATAAAAATTGCGTTTTTGACTTCCTTCTGAACGTCCAGTATAAGACAGGTTTCTAGAAAAAACTTGCTTGTTCCAAAACACTCTTGTCTTTTTTATTAAATAAATATATCAAAAATAGACATGAATACACACACATTTCATAAACAACAAACGAAAATCTAACTTATTATAAAGTTTTTGTTTTTCAAAGTCTGTTGTATTTTAATGAGCAGAAAATCGTAAAAGTTAAACAATGAAGATCAATACAAATGGTATTGCAAATCTTATATGATTATTGCACGAAATAACTATCTACTTTTGTAGTATGTATAATCTTGAAGCATTTCAGTACAGTCTTCATTTTTAGCGGATTTGTCTATTTCATTTCCTATTTCAAACTTCACTTCAAAACTTACTAAGCTTTGAAATTCCTCAGAAAGTTCTATGAGATACCTGGAAATGCTTGTTTTTTTCGTTTCTCTTACTTGAACGTCGTTTATGGGCGACCTCTTATATAGCTAGCAATAGTAAGAAACAATTTTAATGACTTGTCTAGTTTATTCTCCATTCTTTGCTGATGAGTTGTTTATATGACTTTTCTTGAATGGTAGCTAAGAAAAACAAAACAAAAAAAACGACTTTCTATTTAAAATTGTTAACATCTTAGATGAGATTGAGTATTTGCCTACATGTGATAATAGATATTCGTTCAAATTCAATTTGCTAAGTTCAGATACAAAGTTCTGCATTAACATATAGATTTACAAATTATCTGTAACATGCGACGGAACAAAAGGAACTAACTAATCTTGTTACAATTCGATTGCGATTTAATCTCATGAAGAGATTTGGATAATAGTATAGACACATAGCTTTCAGTTTTTGTTTTTTTTATACATTATTAAAAGACTATAGATAGTTATGAATTTGAAAATATCTATTAGATTTTTTGCAGTAATCATACATGTCCATCGCGCTAGCAATCTGCTACTATCGCGACATGGTTCTAGAAGAGACAAGACTATCACAACTCTACTAAAGTCTAAAATTACCTCCTCGCTGATGCCATCGTAGTATCAACAGTACTGCCATGAACGTTTCTAATAGTAATCAAAATTGTGTAAGTATGTATAATCAGATTGCTTTGTTTAAACGAATAATATGTTTTTCATTTTTCTTTTCTAATATTTTACTGAATTCAATCTGTATTTTAGAGTACTTGTATTTTATGCGATAGAACATAAGGAAATCTTCATGATTAATAGAGAAAATTTGATATTTCTTTAGTTTGGTATCATAAAAACAAGTTTTCATTAATCTTTTAAAAGACCAATCAAAACAATAAAGTTTCAAACGAACATGAAAATTTATTAACAAAGAAACATCTAACAGATATGAACTTGTAAGTCAGAAATGATTGCTCATGATACGAAATAGTAATCATGCAGCTCTACAATTCTTTGTATATTGTATATTTTCTTAAAAATAGGCTTTCTTTTTTATTAAAATTTTAGTTTTCACTTTGATCCTTCAAGTAATAATAATAAAGTCTTACTTTATTATACAAAAATAAAGAAATATTTCACCGTCTTATCTAACAAAGAAAGTTTCTCTAGCTCTATAGTTTTTTTTTAAAGAATGTTAAAGTGAAATGGTAGCTGTAGTTCTCATATTCATTGTTTTCTCATAGTTTCATTATGTATGTATGTATTTCTTACTATTTAATTTTATATCTAGATAAAATTGATATAATACGATAGCGCTAAACAAAATATAGGCTTCTATGTATTTTACATTAATCACTAGAGTATATAACAATTATATCAGAGCACTCAAGAAATATTCAATATGACACGGTAAGTATCAATTGTCGTACTCAAACAGTCAAATTTTAGCACAATTATCCAAAACCTGCAAGTACTTGCTGAATACCTTCATCAAGAAAGAAAAACAAACCAGAAAAAAAATCAATCAGTCAATTGTTTTAAGAAAGAAAAGCAGAAAGTTGTCAAAAAAAAAACAATCAATTTTCTGGAACACAATCTAAAAAGAATGTTGAAGTATAGGTGTAGAAATTGTATTGCTCTTCCATTCACTGCAATATATCATGATTAATATCTTGTATCAACAGTAAGTTGAAAATTCATAAACCAAAATATATATTGTTTTTAAGTGACAAAGACTTTTCAAACACCTGCTAATATAGACATGTAGATCTTTGACTTTTTTTTATTGTAGGCGCGTCTGAAATTCCTCACGTCAATAAGAGCGTCCTTAGTTATTGATGATTACATTTCATTGATGAATATGAAAAATTCCAGTGGAAGATAATATTATTAGAAATATGAATAATCTTGAAGTGAGAAAATAATCGTTTATTCTTCATATTTATCAGTTACTGAGTAAAATATCAAAACAAACAAAAAAAGAATATATTACAATCAAAAAAATATTATCAATATGACACACAATGAATCCAAATATTTATAATAATACAAGTAGTGGAAAGAAAGATTGATAGAAACTTCGAGCTATTAGCTTTTGAATCAATAAAATCCATTTCAACGAAAATTTGACGAATTTTACGGACTATAACTGGATCATTGCATCTATTTTTATTACAAATATAAGAAATGGTTGTTCTTTTATAGTCAATACCGATAGATTTTGAGTGAAAACTAAGACCAGCTGTAGAACCTGGTCGTCGATCAGAAATAGAGGTTGTGATAAGTAAATCTGATCGTCCCTGTTCAATAATTAATGTTGCTTGACAATTTCGATTGAGGGAACAGTTTTCTATCTTATTATTTCGATTGTAACATTCAATTGGTTGTGGTTTCGAAATGCTTTGATCACTGTAAAGAAATTCAGTTAATTCATTTGTCAATTTAGTATAGTTCACTAGAAGTAATTCTTCATATTGTTTCTGTACTATTTTATTATTACATAGATCTTCATCGTAACAATCATAGATAACTGATCCGTAAGGGTTTCCAATGTCCAATGGTATATTTATAGTTGTGACCAACTCGCTATCACCATTTCCGGTGATCAGAGCATTTGATGGTGCAGTTATATAGTTAATAAAAGCTGGATATGGATCAATCAATTCAACAAATAATTCACTTATACATACGGAAGCTGACTCACTTATTAGGTCACAATAAGATTCATCAATAGGAAGAGATGCGTTATTTGTATTGATGGAAATATCAACACATGATGGACACTTAACGGTTGCAATTGAATGTACATATATGAGGATAATAAGAAACGTAGGTATCAGCACCATCCTAGACATAATAGTTTCGTATACGAAGAATCTGATTCATTTCTACAATTACAAGTTACATAAATAGTAATGATTCGTATCTTGGTATGTCAGCTGATATAATTTCTCATCATATTCATAGGTTAATGACAGCATTATATGAAATTTTTTCGCAAAACTATTCTTTTTTCTTTTTAAAATGAAAAAAAATTGTTTTGATCAAATATTATAATTTTTTTTTAATTTTTTGAAACAAAGAAAAAAGTAGTAAAGTTTTATAATAATTAATCATCTTTGCTTTCTGCTCTTTTTTTATTTTATATATTAGCAAAAAGAAATAATATACAATGGAAGAATCTTGCAGGGTGATATTTATTGAAAGAAAAAGAAACTACACTGAGTTTGATTGAATCAAAGTCTTTGTATAAGTATTTGTGTTATTGGACTTCACTCTTTTTTCTCAACTGATTGATGAATGATGTAGATAAACAGTCTCCTTTTCATTTATTTATCATCAAAAAGCATCATATTAACTTAGATGAAATAACATATTCGTTGTCAATTTCTAAAACGAATGTATCAAAAAGAAAAATAGATAAAAACTTTAACATAATCTTTTTAACGGAATTTAGTTTTTATGTATGCCAACTGGAATTTCCAATTGTTGGCATCCAGTTGGTTTTGCTGTTATACATGTCGAACAATCAAAAACACCAGTAGTTGACGAGCATGAAGATGAACATTGATAGCATGTTGTTTGAGCAGCTAATGAATAACTACCTGCTTGACATTGTTGTGGGCATTGTGTTGAATTATCACAAAAGTATCCAGGTGCACACGGAGTACAAGTAGTTGAATTATCTTGAACGGAGTAGTATCCTTGAGAGCATGTTACACAAGAAATTGCTCCGTAGTCTGCATTAGTACCTTTAGGACAACTTTGAGGTGGTGAGCTCGGATCTGTGCATGCAAACCCTCGAGGGCATATCATACAATCAGTAGCTTTTGACGTTAAAGAGTAATAGCCAGAAGAACATTGACTGCATTGAGTTTGTTTATAGTTACTATAATTTCCATTAGAACAAGCTATTGGTGCTGTATCAGGTTGTGGACAATAATAACCTCGTGGACATATTTGGCATTGAATTGATCCTACATCAACCGTATAAAATCCCGAATCGCATTGTGAACATGTAACGGTATTGATAGTTGATGAATAGGTGCCGGAAATAATTCAGAAAATACGTAATTTTCAAATCGTTTGCAAATAGAGAGAATAAAAAAATGAAAAAATGTTTACGAATAAAGCTGAACACGACAGGGCACTGGCGAGATATCAGCGGTAGGACATTCAGATCCGACGGGACATGTTTCACACCGAGAAGACGTCGTATTTTTAGTCCACATACCAGACGAACATCGTTGGCAAGAATTCATTGATCCATCTCGATAAAATCCACGGGCACAAGCTCGTGGTTCTTGATCACTTTGTGTACATTCATATCCAAGGGGGCATGCATTACAAGCTACTTGTCCATAACTGGTTGCATAGGTATTCGATGGACATGAAGTACATGTTGATCCTGGATATGGAGAATATGTACCTGGTCGACACATATTGGGTGGTTGATCAGCTCGTGGACATTCATTTCCCTATTTTAAATCACAAGAGATCGTAATTCATCTACTGTTTTCAATTTTAAATCAATAATTAATGTACTTACATCAGGACAAATATCGCATAGTACGGCACCGTTCTTAGTGGTATACCAACCCGTGGGACATGTAGAACATGCATAAGCACCATAATTATATGAATATGTACCTTAACAAACATATAGATGATTTTGCTAGATCTCTTTACGTCAATAAATCATTGACAGTTCAGAAATCGAGCACGTTCATTGTTAATTAACAAAACAGGAGCAGAATAAAAAAAAAATTGTCTATAGAATGAGATATTTTCTAGGGATATCAAATGATCGATTTAGACTGTGTAAAAGTTAAATATTTCTCAAAAGTTCATATCAGTACTTATTTTAACTACTAAGAATGTCTTATCAATTGCATATTATCTAACATGTGGATCAGAAAGACACCTCATCATACAATCCAAGACTCATTTTATATATCCATTAGATTAATTAAAATTCATTTGGTTAGATTTGTGAACTTCTGTCAAATAGTATTGGAGTCTAACTAACCTGGTCGACAGGCCAAGGGTGGTTGATCGGAACGAGGACATTCATAACCCTAGGCCAAGATAAACAAAGTGTCTTAATAATATTCTATTTAAAAAAAGAAATTTTTCATTTTACCTTTGGGCAGATTGTGCATTGATGTGAATTTGATGTTGTTGAATAATAACCTAATAGTATCCATTAGTAAAAGAAGTCAAACATAAAACAATGAATCAAATAAATCTTCCTTTCGTACCTTGTGGACATTCTTGACAGTTCACCCTACCATAACTATCTTGATAAGTTCCTGCTGGACAATTGATAGGATCTCTATCAGTATTTGGACACATAGATCCCATTGGACACATATTACACATAATCGAACCTGATTCTATTGTAAAGTATCCATCTCGACAACTTGAACAGGATGATGATGCGAATGAATTTTGATATTCACCTGGATTGCATGGTAATTGTCGATATCCATCTGGACAATATGCACCTGGTTCGCAAGGATAACAATTGCCACTATCCAAATAATAACCACGACTGCAGGATGTTGCACTTAAAGTTATTTGAAATGATAAGCAGTTGATTGACACAAAAAATAAATAAAATATCACACAAGCCATTAGTTATAAAAACCTTCTAGGACAAAATTATCTTCTGTGGCTATAGTCACACACCTTTTATAAGAGCTAATGAGTATGTTTGTTGAACTTATCATTTATTACACTATCTTCTTTAAAAAAATGTCGTAAGACAATGACGTATTTTGTATCACTATGACAATGCTTGATTACGTAGGATATATTTCATGATAATAACAAACAAGCGAACAGATAAAAAAACTCATATAACATGATTCACATCTTATATTTAGACCCCCTACATCTACCCCTGATACAGAATAGAAGCTCTATGGGCTTCTGATTTGTTTTGTAAGTCAAAATTCTGCAGGTGGATTTCTATTACGACCAACTTTTTTGTGTTATAGCTGTGCTTTCATTAACTTGAAAGTATCGAAGTGTTCAACAATTAATAAATCAAAATTTTCAAATTGTGTAACCCATTTTATCATATCTATAGAAGTTTCTGTGGAATCAGAGATTGCCTGTCAATTTTGTTTCAGTTTCATACTATTCAATACACAAAATAATCAGTTCTTTGCACTTATTTTGATGCTCATAGGTTCATCTATCTCAATTATTTGGTGAATACCTCGTATGAATATGAACGCTTACAGTTAATATAATATTTTATCTAAGAAACTGTCGAGCTTTGGAGAAGTTAGAAAGAAACATCTATTGAGCACAAACCGGCAGAGTTTTGCAGAACAAGTCCGTGATAGAAGCTACTACAAAATTCTGAAGTGAAAAAAGACATACTTTAATTATCTTGACAAATATATAAAGTAAGCCTCTTATTTCTAACAGATGAATAGTTCAGGTCTTATGAGTCTTATAAAAACGATATTGTACTATCCCACACTAATTTCTATTTTTAAGACCGATCAACATTTACGTAATTTGAACCAATGAGAGTTCACCTGTAAATGTTAAATATGCACGTACACTTTTTAGGTCACGAAAGAAATTGATTTTTCCGTTACTAGAAAACAAAATGCAAAAAAAAAAATTAAGCACTAGTGAGAAGTAATGATCTAATCTATCCAATTTCTTCTATAATTTATTTTGTGCATAGGTCGAGCATAATAGATTTCTATTATGTCAGGAAATTATAACTTTTAGACTGAATTTCTATTCTGCGAAGACGTAGAGAGAAGCATTTTGTTTTTTTCCGAATAGCATAAGAAATTGGGCATAAAAAGTTGAGTTTCATTTCTTAGCACTTTGATCAATGGAAAAAAATTGTAATAGACAGATGATATTGTTTGATGATAATTGTTAAAACCCATATCGTCAAACTGTTCTCACTAAGAATTGCGTATCCATAGCTCAGTATCTTTCGTTAATGACTTTTGCTATTTAAATAACTTGATATTTATTTAATTCTTAACGAAACATAGATGTTCTGTATTGTCATAAATAAATATTCGCAGCATACACCTGTTTAAAATCAGTTTTGTGATGCATTCTATACAGTCGATAATAGTATACAATTTATCTGAAATGCATCCCAAGGTATGTAGTTTTTAATGTAAAGAATAAAACATTGACATTTTTTATTTTCAAATATTAATATTATCTGATTTATCCAATATCTGAATATTTAAATAGTAAAATAGTATTCATCGGAGAAAAGAGATGAATACTATGAAAATTTTAAATTAGCAAACGTAAATTTATTATATTTTAATACCGATTGAAAACAATTCACTCATCCAAGATGAAATTGATTCGAATATAACAAATTGGTAAACTTTGAACAAATAGAAAAATGTCTTTGATCAAATGACAAAATCTTTCTAGATAACGTGTTTATAATTTTTGTTAACGCGATTTAATCGTTCAAACAATTCTCTTTGGCAAGGTTTTTCTTAAGCGGAATATAATTAATTTTTCCTTATTGAGTAGGTAATTTAAAAAACTATTTAAAAATACGAGAAACAATCAGAAACAACAATAGAATATTGTTTGTCTAATATGAACTTGAGAGAGCGCCTAGAATTTTTTCTTTTTATTCAACAATTCATTCTTCGTCTCCTGTTTATGTTCCATGAAACAAACCCTTTCAATTGTCATCATTATCATTCCTGTTTTATTTCATTCTCAATCTGTTTATTTACAGACTGTTCCGTTTCGGTGCGTCAATAATAAAAGATATAAGTTTATATAGTCGATTCATATATTCAATAGATTTCGTATCGTCACTTGGAATGTTGGAAATAGTGAACCTGATTGTAATACATGTCAACATCTAGCATTTTCATCAGTCTCTGATGGTATTAAAGCTGATCTTATAGTGTTTGGGTATGGACATAGTTAGCTCTTTAAAATATAGTACAGCCAAAAAAAAAGAAAGTCATCTTTTATAGTTTTCAAGAAGCAAGTAAAAAAATGATCGGATTGAACACATTTCATAAAACATTGAAAACTTGTCTTGAAAATGAAAATTATGTAGAAATTATTTCTGATTATGTCGGATCGAATATTGTAAAACCAATATGGCTTTATATATATGCCTCAAACATAATAGTAAAATCTCAACGTGTGAAGCTTTTAAAATGCGGAAATAAACCAACTTTGAAAGTATATCAAGTATGTTTTTTTGTTAATCTTTTCACAGAAAGAAATAACAGAGACAACACTATATTTAGGACAAAATTTTAGAAAATATTATCGGTACACAGATGTTTTACTCGTTTATTGTTTATATGTATAGTTGCTTATATAAAAATTTATAGGTTATAAAGGTGTTATAGCTGGTTGTATTCAAATAGATAAATTAACAAATATAATCTTTGCCAATATGCATTTACCGGCAGGAGAAGGAAAAAAAGAAGAACGATGCAAATTATGGTCAAAATTTCTTCAAATCTATCACGCAAACAATATCAAAAATGATTATATGTTTGTTTTTGGTGATCAAAATTGGCGTACCTTAAATACGTTGAGTATTAATAATATAATTGAAGCAGTCCAAAAAAAAGAGTACAAAACAATACTTGATAATGATGAAGTTGAATGCACTTATCTTTACTATAAATGAATTAAATTATTTTTTTTCTTATAGTTAACACAAATGCGTCAAAACGACAATGAAGAATCTACTGCTCAATGCTTGAGTAATTTTATCGAAGCTTCTATTACATTTCCACCAACATATAAGTATATACTGAATAGTGATGAATATCAAACAGAAAAGGATAAAGAGTAAGAAAAAAAAAGAAGAAAATTAGCATTGAATTGTTCAGAAATATGTTTATATCTAGAATTCGTCGACCAAGCTATACTGATCGTATTCTTATTTCAACACTTTCAAATAATCTTGAAATTCTCCAATATTCAGCAATGAGTGATATTAAACTCAGCGATCATCGACCAGTATTTGCAGATATAATTCTACATCAACGATCAAGCAATAACGAAATATTTGCAGAACCTGTAATTATTATTTATCGTTCTGTGAAACTCACATATATTTTCGAAAAAATAATGAGTGAAAGTTTCAAGTCGAAGTTTTGCGACTTCTTCCCATCACAGGTCTTAACTATCAAGAACAACTAACATCAAACTCGTTTCGCGGAGAATTCTTGAACATTCCAAAGTCTTCCTCGAAGTTGCGATGGCTGGAGTACTCTTGTCAATGTTCCAAATAGTACTTTTTTTTTTTAATTTTTTTTCCAAATAAAAGTTTATACTTAAGAGGTTAAGGATGATGATTAATCAAGCATTGCTATGTCACAAGTGTCATATGGTCATCATAAAAAAGCGTGAAGTGATTAGGTTATAACTTCAGGAAATAATCAATATCAATATTCCTGAGGATCTCAAGAGATATGTTAATGCGTTGAGATCTGCTGTAGATGTCATGAATATGTAAGATAGGCTTATTTGTCTGTTAAATCAATATTTAGAATATTAATGATGTTAAAGGAAGAGAAACGGAATCTGACCATGAAAAATAACAAAACAAACAAAAAATAGAGCGTCAGCAAACGAAAAAAATTGTGTTTTAAGCGCAAAAATATATAAGACGGATCGCTTCTGTGGTAATGGATCAACTCTCGAAAATATCAGTAGTCTGTAACAGGTTTTTCACTTGACATATTTTCTTTTAGTATAATCAGGCTAAAGTGCATACGTGAGTTTCATATGTCAATCTCAAAAGGGTTGTATGAACAAGTTTTTTTCTATTCTTTTTCTTTTTCTCTATTTTTATATATTTTTAGAACACAAGCAGAACTCCTGCAGTAAAAACTGATAACAGACAAATCTCGAAGAAAAATTCGTTGACCATGATTATAGTTACAGTTATCATTATTATAATTTTCTGCGCAATCAGTATTCTTGCTATTTATTATTTTGTAATCAAATGTAAAACAAGAAATGTTGATATTCGACAAGTATCATCGATTGATCTTTCTGGTACACAATCGGATCGAGAAAACACAGTTACACAAAATTAAAACTATAGTCAATGAATTTTTTGTGAACTTATCCTTAATTAAGAAAAATATTTTTGATAATTGGCTTCCTTATACTAACAACTCGAATCGATTGATCTAAATACTTACTGTTATCAATCTCTGAATGATTTATATTGTGACTAGTCTTTACGTTTTCTACTTAATTTTTTATCATGATCTTGATGAATTTCGATCAAGACAGATAAGTCTATTAAATTATTCATATTGACCATGACATATATTTATATATATATATAAATATATAAGTTCATTATGAATAAAAAACGACATTTTTTCATGCATATTGATGACGATCAAGATCAAATAATGAGCTCAAAAATCTATAAATTGTTCATCAGTCTAAAAAATCCTTGGGCCTATATCTGTATGTGACATTCATTTACGTTTTTGTCTGTCTACTAGGGCTTAATGAAGACATGCATAGAATCATGAAAAGTATCTCGTGTTTTTTTTACATTATACATCAATATTACAAGAATATAAAGACTTCAAATCTACATTAAACAAATTATTATTAATCTAAGCAAAAAAAATGAATAGAATGTCTCTCTTTCGACTAATGATCATTATCGAAATTATTATTATTCAATTAATAAATCATACAATTAATGGCACTCATATTCAAATATATGATAATATTGCTGAAATATCTCAACCAATATCATCGTATGATTTACCCGTCATATTTTCTCAGCAAGAATGGTATGATATTCGATCAGATTCAATTCGACTTATTGGTAAATATGTTAATGTACGTGCACAGATAATGTCATTTAATCGTACATCATTAAATGGTCAAAAAATAATGATTAAACGTAACCTTAATAATGATACATATACAGAAGGAATAATGATTGATGAAATACGAAATTTAGTACGCGATTTAATTGATAATACATATTATACAGTTACTAACGATCGTATACGATATTTATCTATTCCACCCATAAGTAAATATTCAGTTGATTTTGTATTAGAAACATATACTAATGAACAACTTTATTTACGTTATTTACAAAGTAATATTAAGTGGAAAGTACGTTATGATCTTCTATTAGAAAGTAATAACACTGATTCAATTTTACAAGCATATGCTGACATTCGAAATGATGGAAGGTCATCATTAACGATTAATTGTGCAGAATTAATCAGTGGAGATGTTAATATTCAATCATCGCCAATCAATGATTATATTAATGGAGAAGCAGCTGGTATTGGAAGTGTTGACTCAGTATTTTCTCAACCAGGACTATTATCACCATCATCTGATGCTAATGGTGATAGTGCTCCAAATATTTCTGATGCCGAAGAATTAATTGGTGTGTACATATTTTCAATAAATGAAACATTTACTCTTGATCCTCGATCGAATTATATTCTTCCAATGTTTCGTCCAATAATTGATATTGAACGTTATGGTTCAATAGAGAAATATTTTTCATCGACAGATAATCGTGGTAATGCTCAACGTGCATATCGTCTTCGTGTAGAAGAAACATTTTTACCACGGGGTCAAGTATTTATACGTGAATCAGATCGATTAGTAGGTGAAACTTATTGGCCTGATCTTGCTTCTAATGAAACAAATGAATTTAATCTTGGTCAAGACGCTGATTTACGATATATTGAATATGTGCAATTAAATTCACGTCGAAAAGTTTATCAAACAAATGGCAATCGTTTTGTTTTATTAACATATACGATTGATTTACGTTTAATTAATCATAAGCAACGTTCAATGAATGTTGAATATCGATTAAGATTTACTTCACAAAGTAATTTAACATTAAAAGAAAATACAGCAAATAATTTACTTCAACTTGATGGTTCATCTATAATTGGAACGTTTTCATTAAATCCAAATGATGAACAAAAATTTAAATTTACATTTGAAACTGCATAAATGCCATTTTTTTTCTTGCGTCTTTGTTAATTCTATACATATATACAACTAAAATATAATATTTTGCTTTTGTTCAATGATCTCATCAAGTACATAAATTGTTTAATGTTGTCTTTTTATCCTAATTTATCGATGAACATTTGTCGTAATAATCTTTGTACTAATAAATATTTCCGTTCTATGGCTTCTAAAGAACGTTGACAACAAAAGGCATACGTATCAAAATGAATCTGTCTAGACAATAGTTTCAAGAAGAAGGTCATGTCATTGTATGATTGATAGATTCAAAAACCACTTCCGTCGTTATAGTGTATAATACAAACAATTATGCATAATCACTGTTTAACACGATTAGAGATACAAGTCGATCGGGTGTCCTGTCACCATTGCAGAATAAAAAATAAGTACTAGGTTTTTGAAAATGTTGAGTTTATCCATTTTATAGTTTCGATCGAAAACGATTTTAAAAATTGTCCCAACTCTCGTGGTTCATTTACATTTGCTTTCTTTCTATATGTCTCAGCTATAAGCGAGTGCAGAGTGTTTTTTACCCACATTCGAATTATTTCTTAGAAAAAACTTAAATTAACCGAGAAGAAAACAGTTTCAAAATATATTTTCATTAATAAAATTTTTTGCACCGCATCCATGATAAAAATCTATACCATAACTGAACCGATTTTGGCACTGTAGCTATTACTGGCAGCTCAATTATATCAATATTATCAGAGTCTATCGTCAAAGATTCAATGCCGACAATTTAAACAGACTTCAAAAGCAGTCATCGGTTTTAATACAGTACATCATGACGCAACATTTCCAATAAAATATCGACAGTAGTTTCTAAGTGCGTATCACATGGGATGGTAACGAGCTCGAAATTATAGAAAAGGCCATAAAATCGGAAAGTTATTCTATTGTATGTGACACAAACGAAATAAGGACTTCTTTCTATACTAGCATTACTTCTATGTAAATAATGATCACATTATTTTCTCGTTCATAGTTCTGTAACACATGATTGATAATGAGTGTTGCGGTATATACTTAAAAAACCCAACGAAGCCAGTTCTCTCGACGGCATTCCAAAGTATCATAAACAGTCCAATATAACAGATCGTCACTGAGAATGCAGATATGCGTTGCTGTGTATAATGATGCCACTATGTGCGAAGATGTAGAGATCGGTGAGATGCATGCTATGGATGTGCATTTCTATGTACTAAGGTTACCAGAAATAACACATTGATCGACATCCTTCCTCAACAACCGCAATCAAACGAACATCCACACTTTCATGTCCTACCTACACATGTACGCCAACGCAATACACTTTACACACACCTACAACCAAAGCCAAACCCGTACCTAAACCTGTATCACCTGGACTCACTCATTTAGCACTCGAGCTCCACAAGCGTACTCACACCCTCTACAATAACTATGATACAGATATCAACACTTCCACACTCGCACTCTACTCCCGACACCGTACACAACTACGATCATAAGAGTGACCACATCTCGTAACCTACATCTTCACCCCCATTCTCTCATTTGCAGCACCTATACATGAACACATAGTAGTCTTTTCCTACGCATAAGATTCGAAACACATGCTTTGTTTTATAAAATGAATTTCTTCGCCATTCGACTATCTACTTACATTAGACATACTATGAAAACTGAAGGATTGTATGTGACAGTCCAATGACTATTAGATCATCATGCGCATGAAAGCTAATAACTATAAAGAATTTTTCATAGTAAATAAATTTCTTGATTTAATATTGTTGAATTGTATAGATAAGTGATCTCAATATGACGAGAAACAAATGTAAGTACGATGAAGAAAACATCTAGCTCTTGTATGGATCAGCATTAGTACAGTAAAATAGCTGAAATTAGCAAGTGAATAGGCTTAGTAACAAATTTCAAATCATTCTCCAGGCACATGCTAATAACACTTGGACATTTACATGCAGGGATGTTGTATACGCTTGTTTGCAAAGATAAGAATTATGCATGATCCAGCATGTTTTATCTAAAAGGTAAATAAATTGTGATTGCATGCATCGTTTGTTGATTGCACGCCTATGCATGTACCACTAGTTTGCATTTCTGCGCAACAACCGCTGATATTTCAGATGACTTTCATGTTCGTGCATGAGGTACACTAACTGGAAAAAATATCTAGCAAGTTAATGCTAGTTTTCGAAAAATTTTCGCAAATACATGTGTTTTCTGAAACTTCTTGTTTTACTGAAGAGACGTCTTTCATACACCTTAGACGTCCCATGACGGTTGACACACATTGGAAAAGGTTTTCACAAGAAAGAAACATTTTTTTTGCAAATTCGTTGTATCATTTTTTTTAGAAAAATGTAATGATCAACTGTTCCAAAAAAAAAACATGTGAATACATTTATTACTACTATTGACATAAACAATATCCAAAGCATACGAATCTTTGATTACACATTAAGATGTCTAGATCATCAGTTTATATTAGAAGATTGATAAAAGAATTGATCCTAGGTATTTAACAAAAAAGTGTTATTACATCTTATACAAAAGAGATATACTACAAGACAAAATGTAGACTAGACAATAAATATGATGGATTCAGTGTATGTATTGATTACTGCTGATCGTGATATCGTAACATCGTGCCTATAAGAAAAATTAGAACTAAGTCATTCAAACTATATTAATTTCTTTTTGACTTTTGAAATATAATTATTGACTAAACTACAAAATGATATTTTAGAGATGACTTAAAGATGCCGAAAATTTAGATATTCAAGTAATCTTTTCAAAATTCACGGATTTAATAGAATCAATCTTAAATTATTATTTCGTATAAAATAAATTTACAAGATGAAGTATTGTTCACAATGTTGTATGTTCAATATATTGTTTTTCATTTACGAAATTGTACAACTATCCTTGAATGCTGACAGATGTTCTCGAGATAATCTTCCTTGTTGTTTTTCACCAATACTACTTAATTTCACTTTTTTTTCATCTAATTGATCAAACCACTGATCAAGAGATCCCATTAAAATTTTGACAACATAATCACCATATGAAAATGGAAAATTTTTACCTTGTACAGCTAAAATTTCTTTTCGTTCACTTCGATAATCATCCAAAACATCAACATAAGGGATTTTCTTATCGAATTTATTTAAGTAGCCAACTGATTGAAGATCATCTGTACAAGCAATAAATGTTATATAAATACGATCGAGAGATGGATATCTTTCATTACGTAAAACTTTTTCTAAACGATTAAGATCATTTTGTCCATGATCATCAGTAGGTATACCATCTGTTGCAATTAAAATTAATAATTTTCGATCATGAACATGTGGACGTTTCAAATTAAGTACGTCACTAAGAACACGTGTAAGATGTGTTGGACCATTTGGTAATCTAGAAAATGTTTCATGCAATTGTGATGAATCTGTAATATGTAAAAGTGGTGAACGATTTAAAAAATATATGTCAACACCATCAGGATCGACTACTGAAGCAAGATCAACAACAATCGATACAACATGTTTAAGTTCATCCCAGCGACTTGGTAATTGACTGAATGGTGAAATATTCTTTTGATCTCGATCAATAATTGGTGTATACATAGATGAACTATCATCAAGTATCGTAACTATTTCGAAACCTTCAAGACCTCGAAGACGAAATGCAAAATCATAATTAATATCATATTTAGTAATAATATCTTTAAATTTTTTCAATCGTGCTTCATTTTGAAGTATTGGATAATCCATTTTAAATGATAAATATAATTACAATGATTTCCGTTTTTATTTTAACAAAAACACTTAGTTTTGAAAGTATAAAAAACAATTTGACCAAAAAAAAGAAACCAAAGCAAATGAAGTTACATAAATCTTATTGAAACAATGATTAAAACTAAATGATATAATATAAAATAACAATTTAATCCTCATCTTGTAGTATTATGTCGAAGAATCAAAGGGTATCTAAAAAGATACGATATCACTTCAATAGTAAATTGCAATTTCTGTTGTTATTTGCCTTGTTGATATTTTTAGAGCATGGTGGATTATCTAAAAATGTCACTTAAGGCTTGACTTTGTCACAAGACAATATACTGAGTGAAGCGAAATGATTGCAGTATCGAACATTTGACAAATATCTCAACAAAGATAAATCCTATAATATTGAGATTTTGCTGAAAGTTGTATTGTTAAACCCACTACAAGAATGCCACTGAAAAATCCCATTGAGCTGGTTTAATAGTTTTTCTTTTAAGACTAAAACTGAAGCACTAGGTGATGGTCAAATGTTGCCTTATGTTGAGAGAGACAAAAAATGAAAATAACATGAATTATTTGGGATATATTTCATCATCAATAAATCAAAAAACTTGAAAACAATTTTTTAAACATGTGTTTGGAATTTTCTAATAATTTTGCATGAAAGGATCCTCTGAATTATGCTGATGAGTTTTTCAAGTAACAGCAGGTAAATATCTTTATGATATCATCATTATCTATTATAACGATGGGGAAAAAGGTTCAGTAATCTCAAGTACCACCACACCCAGAGATGAAACCGATACCAGACATCAAAACATGAGACTGGTTTCGTCTCTGATTTATGTCATAAGTTTTAAACTGAACAGCCATTATAGAGAAATAGGTTGATCATTGAATCGGAAAAAAATTGATCTTCTTAGAACTATCTGTACTCGATCAAGATAAATCTGTTCATTTAATAGCAATTAATCTCATAAATCAGTCGAGAAACTTTCACAATTAAATCACTTTTATCAATAACGAAATCATATGTTTTTTTTTTAGGTTAAAATATGATAGAAGATAATCAATAGAGTGACGACATCCAATTCTATGTATCAATATTCTATTGCACTGTTGTTTGTTGATGGCAAGTTGTAACTTGAAAATTTTCACAAAGTCTTTCGAATTTCCTAGATTCATGGTTTATGTTAGACATTTATGCGAGTCCACTATAAAATAAATTTTCAGGATATAAACTGATCGGTTCAATCCGGCCAGACCGGTTCTATCTCGTATCATACATGAAGTTCTACGACCATCTAGTGCATTGTATTTAGATTCAATAGATTCTTCTATATGTAATCATGTCAATAAGTATATTTATCATCAAAAAGGCAAAACACAAGAAGATTTGAAGAAATAAATAAATAAAGTACGCTGAAAAAAATTCATTTGAGTTAATTTTGCAAAGTGACCGATTCTTTTCTTCGAAGAGTTCGTATGCATATTTGAACAACATAATGATAATCATATTTTCCATAATCGTTCATAATTTTTCGTATGATTTCACTTCAATTTTTTTTCTAAAGTATATCATGCAAAAGTTTGTTTGAAATAAAAAGATGTTTTTTCAATGTTGTTTTCCATTTTATTTCTCTCAAAATAACAAGACATTTGATCATTACAAAATGTTTTAATTTTAGTCTTCTAATAAAATCATTAAAATATTCCAATAGACTTTTCTTTTGATATTCTCCTAGAGAATTCGATAGTATATCTTCTAAAAAAAAATTACTTTATAAGATTTGTCTGTGTTGAGATATTTGTAAAATACTCGTTGTTGTAATTATTTGGACTCATCCAATAAATGATTAATTAAAAAACTAACATGTAAAGCTTTATATTGTCTTTGACGATTGAATTATCTTAGGTGCAGTAGTCAATCGTCGTGAATATGAATCAAAATGTTTAAGAATTGAATTATTTTTCTGACACATATTTCTTTTAAGATTATTTTTATTTCTATCAGACATGGCCCACGTATGTGGATTGACAATATTATCAATAGATAAACAATAAGGAAAACTAAATCTTGTATTTTGATTTAATTGTGATATTGTTTTTGGCGAAAATTGTTTCGAATCAATTGATCGATGAAAAAAGAATAATGGAACATCATTTGTTGTGTTCGAACAAATTTTATAAGAATGAAATATGATTTTATTAATTGAAATCTCTGTTCGAATATGAACATCTGTTAACCATTGTGAAATATCTTGTGCAATAAAAATATGAGGTTCAATATCGTATTTTAATAAACCATAGTGTCTGGAATAAATAGTAACAACTTCACCACTATGTAATAAAGATCGTATTTGTTTATTAAATGTATATGAATTTAATATTCGATTGTTAATACTAAATTGTCGAATATGAATATTACTCAGATTAAGCAATTGATTGTGTGATGTATTTATTAGCCGAATAAAATATCCAAATGGATCAATATCGAGTATACGTAAATAGTGACAAATTAATTGTTCCATAAGAGAAAAAAAAAGTTTTCTCTTTTCAATCAATCAAATTGTCATAGTGATAATAAATAATAACAGCTCAAACGAAATGATTCAGTAGATTGACAAAGCATTTTATTCAGTTTAATTTGTGATAAGCTGTTTTAGTTTTTATGAAATACACATGTTTTGCAACACTTTTGTCAAACATGTCGAATTATTATTAATTATTCAAGGTAAACAAATACATGATATAATAAGAAAAGCTAATCCATATAAATGTGCTTCTTATCATTATTTGTTTTTATTTATTTTTTAAATGATTGACTATTTTGATCAATATTTCTGCTTTGTGAAAAGATATAATTCATAAAAAATCTTCTGAAATAGACTTATAATTATTCATACTTATTCATTTTTTATTATTAAAGCAAACGAAAAACTATACTTAATTATTGAATTTCATGAAAACACTGATTAATCTGAATAAATAAACAAACAAAACAACAAATAAAATAGTCATAATAAAGCTAATGTATCACACTACTAAAGTATAGATTAAAACGATCCATCAAGAGAAGCATCTTTTTGGAGATAACACAGACGAGCAAATAACAAAAGAAAAAAATAATAATAGAAACAATACCCATCAAAAATCAAATTAGAAAATTTTCTCTTTATTTACATTTGATTATCATATTATTTTATCTTCTGATTCACCTAAAATATTGAATTGAAGACGAATTAATTTTTATTATGATGAAAAAACAAACATACTTCTCGATCGACTATTTTCATAATTTTTTATTTTCGGTGGAGAACGAGATGAATGATGAGAACTCTCATTACTTTTACTACGTCGACGCTTTGATGACGAAAGATGATGTGAATCAAAATAAAGTTCAACATAACGATTACCTATAGAAAGTTTTAAAAAATCTTCTTTTTTTCCAAGAAACATAACGAATTTTCTGTACCCATATATTTTCTATCACATTTTACAGCTTCATTGACTTCATCCATTGTACTAAAATAGACATGAGCATCACCATTTGGTCGATTTGTACGACGGTCGTTTAAAATTTCAATATGCACCGGTTGACAAGATGATGGAAAAAACTAAAGTAATTTCTATTTAGTCAATTAAATTTTTTTGAAATAAACTATACCTCTCGAATATCGTTTTCAACTACAGTATAAGGCATACCACGCATTTTAACAAGGTATTCTCCATTATGAATAGATGTATGTGATGAACGACGTACTGGACTTCGACTATGACTTCGTCGACGAGAACCATCATGTGATTCTATTCCACAAAAAAACAAAACTAAATAAAATTTCAATTTATGGAAAAAATTTATTTTTATATATGTAGGTTAATTGATTTTGCAAAAACTCCAATCCCTTAGAAATTAAAACCTACGTTGACTTGTACTTTCTGATTGAGCTATAAAAGAAAAATTAAATCATTCATTTTCTTTGCTGGATACCTTTTTTTAAGTGTAGTTAAAAAATAGATAATCATTTCTTTACTTACGATGAGATCTTGATCGAGAAGAAATTGATGGTGAACGATGATATTGTACTAGTCGATGATGACGATCTATTTCAGGAGAGGATTTAAAATACTTAGTATTCTTAAAATTTATTCATTTACTTCGACTAGTTGATCGTGAACGTCGTCGACTTCGATTGTTTCGCGTATTCTTATTTTTATTATCTTCATCATCACTTTCACCTGCAAATCGTTTGCCATTTAAATAAGCATCATTCGTAATTGTTTTTTTTGCTTCACCATATGTCGATGGAGATAACTGAATGTACCTATAGAAAACAAAGTTCAAGATTAGTTTGTTTTTTAATTACAAAACTATCATTAGCGAGATAATGAAAATAAATACAAACATTAACTAAAACGTACAGTATATATGCACACATAGCACACGTATTACGACACATATATATATATGAATTTGTTATCTCTACCTGACAGAGATCTGGGCAGCACCATTGATGATGACACCTCACCTCTGACCTGTCCCTCCTTATATTTTCTTTTTTCATTTTATTCGTTCCTTGTTCAAATCTGCTGGTTTTTTTCCTCGAAAATCCATGCTCAGCCGAACCTGTGTTGAATATGCTTTTGATCATAAATATCAATTGCTTTATAGGCATTATCCATACTAACAAAGGCCACATATCCACCACCCAAAGCATTATCCGTCATATCTCGTGTTATATAAATACCATTTCGAGCTATTGCAATATCTATATATATATACATTCATTGCAAAGAAAAAATAATAATAAAAATAAACTTTTTTTTTCATTTTAAAAATACCTTTAAAAAAATTTTGTACATCAGCCATTGTACATGAAAATGGAAGGCCATTCATACGAATAACAGGTTCACGCCATGATATCATACCTTTATGTTTAATAAAAAAATTGTATTCATAAATAGTTGCTCGCGAAACTAAATATAAT